TATATTCTAGAACCTCCGAAATTTCCACCAAGCGAGCGAACCCCCACATCGTCTCTATCTCCGCGTTTGCCGTAGCTTGGGCGTGCTGCGGGGTGCTTCAGTGCACTGCGGCATGCTACGATATTTGGCACAATACCCGCGTGGAAGCTCAGGGAAGCTCTATCAACGCGGTTTTTAAAGCCGCATCTGGATAAGTGCTGTGCTTTTAGACGCGAGCAACGCGCAGTGTGCTTTTAGAAACAAGTGAACACTGAAGAACGCCGCATGCAAGACACTATGTGTGCAATAATCGCACTATTTATGAGGTCAGTCGCCGCCGGCTTTCATAAGTGTCATCTAAACTCGGATTACCGAGCGAGCGGAAGGGGTCGGCGAAAGTTGTAGAGAGAGTGCAGTTTTTTTGTGGATATGGAATTTCGTTCACTGGCGGGATGAACACCACAATCAGACCACAATAGCTAATGGTACGTGCATATCCAGTGTGGTATGAACCACTGGTCTACTACTCTATCCGAGTACGAGAGTAAAGAGCCTCCGAATCGCGGGTTGCAGTAAATACTAAAAAGCATCCAGGTTTATGGTTTATGGTTGGATCCAAAACCGGAGTTTAAGCAAATGCCGTTCATTTTCCATTAGTTGATTCGGTTGCTATCTATTTCCTCTATCACCTCGAGGCGAAAAGACAGACGAATCCGAATCACAGATGAAAAGAGAGTGTAATTGAGAATCTCAAGATAGATCCTTAGATGTCACCCCACGTTTTGCGGCGAAATTTTGTGGCTTGTAACTTGATTTGCTGCATGCACGGTGATGAGATTGGGGCTCTAGGGAGATCTAAACCTCTGACATGCCATTACAAGCTCCAAAGAGGCTCTAAGAAGCTCTAAAGAAGTCTCACTCCGAAAAGCGCAGAATACAAAGAGAGTCTAGAATCAAGACGAACCGCCGGGATTTCCTGCCGTATGAAAGTGCTTGTAGGTGTCACGACTCACTATTAACGAAATCGGCTTACAGCTCGGGTGTGGCGAATTAACGGCTGTGGCGTCCGCAGCTTCGCTTCGTTCCTCGGACATCTCTGGAGACACCACGTATGTAATCCGTATTTTAGTGTGTGTAGGGTCAAATAATCCCACCCACTACGCTATGTATGAGCTTCCATCAGCGATACTTTGATCGCATATAATTTACCGGTACTCAAACGAGGCACTGTATTGTAAGACGATGTGCTTCAACGGAGACTTGTTGTTGACTTATCGGAGACTTTCGAAGAGCTCCATTTGTTTTGCGTTTTCGGGCCTTATTGGCTATTGATTAATCGATCTCGGATCAACCCAAGGCTGCGAATGGAAGTCACCTGATCTGGTTTGAAACTTGGATTGGATTGACGAATGACGAATGACGGCGTGTAGTGGGGACTCGGTTAACGTCATGCGTGGGGTAGCTGGCGTTAATTTACGCGCGTTTCTTGCTTCATTCGGAAGCTTGCCGACAGTGCCAGGGTTATCGGAGGGGTATCGAAGGATTGCGGCAGCTTAGGGTTCCCGGGTAACCCAGCAAGTTGATAGAAGCTCTAGTGTCCTGGTATCCTGAGCTGGAGGAGCTAAGAGAAGCTGGAAAAAAACTATAGAAAGCTTTCTAGTGTTCCTGGGCCCGATTTCAGAAAGAAAACTTGCGTTCTCGTAACGTGACTGATTACGTTTACTTACATCATACCTTGTCGCTTGGTCGCTTGCAAGCCTATGATTTCATTCAGGTCGTTCAGCCTTAAAGGCATTGTAGGCGTTGCTATCTACTCTAGAAACAACAGTGCCAGTTTCGCACCCGCTCGAAAGGACCCTATCTTCCCAGAGTTGCTGCCGGCGTACATCTGGACTCCTGCTTCCTCTCCTGCTCCCAACCATCCCTTCTTATCCCCTGGAGGACGGTAATCTTCAGAAAGTCTACAATAAGCGTAGCGCGGCTAAACAGACCTCGGCTCGCTACCCTTATTGTCGACTTCCAGAAGATTACCGTCCTCCAGGAGATACCTCCCCAGTATCAAGTCAGAAACTACGGCCGTTCGTACAGGGACCGCAGTTTTGTGGCTTTTAACTTTGCGGTTCGCCCTCTCAGACGCGCGGATGAAGTCATGTGATAGGAAGTTGGTCTATACATCCCGAGAAAAATACTCCTCGAATAAGCAGACTGAGCCCTATGACACAGATACTATGTCTCATCTATTCATTATCTATCCCCCCGGACGCCGAAAAACGCTGAGATTGGACCTCTGGAACTTAGCGTCCTTAGTGCGCCTCATTATGCAACCTCCAAATACATTCCTCAGCCGGGCCACCTCCTTCAGACCCCCTGCTACCCATACAAAAACGACGCTCAGTTTCAGAGGTAATCTGAACGTTTTTAGGTGTCCGGGGATACTTAGGTCCATCGGTATCCCCTGCACGTCCATTTTCTGTATAAGTGGTTCCATAAGTCTAGCGCGTGGAGGACCGCTAGAAACTCAGTACAAGCTCCTGGTTCTTCCACTGCTGACTGCACTCTTTGTGGCTAGCACATGCCCTTTCTTTGCCTGTTGAGCCTCTTTCTTTGCGCGCTTTTCTTATGGTGCCACTTATCCCCTAAACGGCCAACTTTTTATGCGGCCTACACCTCTGATTAAACCCTGTTGGGTTTACTTCGCCCTGTTGAGCCGCACTAACGATAATGTCGACAGGCTGAAAAAGTTGGCCGTTTAGGGGATACAGAAATGGTCGTGCAGGGGATAATACAAATTTCGGCGTGACAGTTGATCGATCTCGATTGGCAAGAGCTGGCGGATTTGGGGAATTTAGCCGCGGGTAGTACCGAGGAAGTTTATGAAGACTTCAAAGACATCATCACTGATCTGGGTACATTTCTCAAGGTGTCTGGCTACTTCCGTACTATTAGAGGACAAGAAACCGCCGATAAATGCGCCTATCTTTTAAGCTCTGTTCCAGAACGAAGTAATTTCTTACAGGTCTGAAACACTAGGAATCTGTTAAGAGTGGGAGTTACAAACACCTGCGTGAATAGTCTGGTGTTACGGCTTGTTATGTCATAAATTCACTTTGCGAAGGCATCATATGGAAGTCAGTAGCCAGAGTTGTGTAACTTTCAAAGCGGCTCACTTAGATGGCAGAAGCCACAGCGTCTTCATATGTATTGAGCTGTTGGCGGCGTGGGTTAGAGCTATAGTACGTATCACCCGTCATATCATACGGAATGCGGAGTCTTCGTTCCGCTGCATGGTATCTCACGCGGCCGAGTGACCTGGCATGCTTCATTAAGTAAGCGTAGCGCGGGTCTTTGCAGTAAATCTAGAGAGTCTGGATTCCATAGAAAGTAGAACGTAGAAGGAATTTATGATAAAGGTGGTCTGTGGAAATAAGTCATCCAGTCATGATATGATCAAGGCACGTGGTGTGGCGGATGATACGGGAACCAAGAAAATGTAAATACTTACGGCAATTTAGTCAGTACATCGGGAAGCGTCGGAATACAACGCCCTCAGGAATGCTTACTGTCTCAATTTCCCGACACAACAAACATGGTATTATTCACGCTTACATTCTGCCCGGAGTCAACAAATATGGTGTAGTGATTTATACAGGAAACAACAGAATGTACAGATGTACGAGTCAATACATTGAACTGTGCCGGAATCTAAAGTCCTCTGGAATGCTGATAATTTAGATTTCCCGCGTCAGCACATCAGCTTCCCAACACAATCAACTTGTAACACTCAAAGGCGATGTTGTACAGGTACTCTTCAACGGCACATAACGCCCCATTTTCTCGCCTCATATCGTTCCTTCATCACACTCATCGACTACTGTACCGGCACAGTAATGTCTCCTCCACTCAAGCATCTCTTTCCCAATACCACAACCCTGAGATTCCTTTATTCAGACGTCTTCTTATTTTTCTTTCTGTAGGCCGCATCCTCGATCGTCGTCGGATAGCACGGAACGTCAACTGGGTTGCTAAACGCATCTGTCCTCCGGACGCACCATCACCACTATTCCGGCCTTAAGACAGACTCAATACAAAGATCCTTCCAGTACGTCTCTGCCAAAATCGTTCCCCAGCTCTTACGTCATTGTTCCCAAGGTTAATCAAGCGAGTATTTTGCGTTCATAGGTTATTACATATCTCCTGCAGTTGTATCCTGATACACTTGCGGCGTTCGCTTAACCGTGGATCACCCGAAAGCTGTGCGATATTGATCACCCTACGGTCTACCTCTTTTCTAGGACCCAGCATCAACTCTTGTCACACGGCATCTACCGATGGTTTTACAGCTTATTACTCTCCTGTTTTCGCCCTCGTACCACATTACACATATCAGTTCTCAACACCCGCGCTCTTCTGGATAACATCCATAAGGTCCATCACCGTATATCACTCTATCCCCTGTATCCTTCTACCACGGTCCACAACACATCCAATTCTCTTAACACTAGCACACTCAATCTCATCACCCAATACACAACGTCTAATCACTTCACTCTTTTTAATATTACCAACATGTCGGAGGCTGGCCCATCGATACAGGCACGGGAACAAAGCGTGGGCGGGAACAAACACCAGTGACACCAGCGACAGTAACCACCGTAGGAACACCAGCAACATCATCCACATCGGCACCAGGGTCACCAATACGATCGAAGGGCCTACCGGTACAGAAACTTGATTGGTTTAAGATATTCGCCCCGAGAAACACACATCGATTTTAGTTGTTAATCGGAAGTTAGTTTCTGGACGCAAACACAACTTTCGACCGTAGAAGCTTCGAAGCCAGCGGTCCGTATGGGAGACAGAAAGGGACCAATGAGCTTTACTAGATGCTGAAAACACTCCAGTAATATTACCTAGTCATCACTGTACGACACAACTTGTACCTATCACTGTGGCAAGGTTTCAACGGCAAGCGTGTAAGTAAACTAGACTTGTAATTATTATTTAAGCTCATCACAACAAGAGCTGATATGGCCGAGTGGTTAAGGCGATGGTCTTAAGTTCTTAAGTCATCCATTGTCGAAAGACTCAGGAGTTCGAACCTCCTTGTCAGCAATATATTTTTGTTCCAATATTTTTTTTCCTTTTGGAATCAAAATTTAGCGAGGCCTCCAAATCCATCTACTTAAAGCCATGCAACCATAGCTGATGCATGTCAGACGTGGTGATTTCCTGTGTCCCAGAATTTTGCACGGGAATTGCGAGGAAGGATTTAACGCAAAACTCAAGCGTCAATATCTATCTATCCTAATAGTTAAATCATAAAACACCGTAACTACTACGTTTATTTAACCAGCTGTCTACAGCCAGTCGTATGTAAAATCATCTTTCTTCATCATGTCATCCATTACCCCCCATATTTCTGTCAATGATCAATTCATCCTCACATTACCGCCACCCTAAAAAATCCATAAAAACGCAAAGTCAAACCAAATCAAAAAAACACCATCGAACCCAGGAATCTATAACCTCCCATCAAACCCCTCCTCCTTCCACCCCGCCGTTCCGCCAACCGCCTCCTTCCCTGAGCCAGCCGCCGCCATCCCCGCTGCCCCAACAACCCCAGTAGTAGCCTCAATCCCCGCCGCATACAACCAACTGATCATCATCACATGCAGCAACACACAGTACGCTGCAAATAAATTCCTAGAAACTCGATTTGCCAATATCACCCTCGTGGCGCTATAAACCATCCTCTCTGCGCAGCCAAGACGCCTGTAGGCACGGGCGGATTCCCTGCCTCGGAACGCTTCGAAGGGTGAGATATTGGCTTCGTAGGCTTGCCTGTAACGTTCAATACCCCCCTGCCGATTATCTGCGCCGGCCATGTTCACAGCCACAGACCCGCTGGAGGCTGCACTGAAACCAGAACCGCGGGTATAAGAGCCGACATAACGGGTCTTCTCGTACAAAGCCAAATTATCTTTCTGTAGCGCCGCCACCTCGTCGCGGAGGTTCGCAACAGTGGTGTTAGCGGTAGCCAACAGCTGTTCAAGCTCCGTGTTTCTGGTCCTGAAGCGGTCCCGCTGGGCGGTAACCATAGGTAGGATACCAGGGTTAGAGCTAACGGGGGATTGTAATGAGTCGATTGGGCTGCCGATGATGCTGCTTGCCGGACTGACACGGCGGGGGAGGGAGCGGGAAACCACGGATAATGCTGGGGCATATTGAGGGGTGTGGGCTGACAATAAGTCGTCTTCAAGTTTGGAGATCAGTTGGCGGGCGGAGGTTAACTCTGCGGTGGTGCTGTCTAGGGCAGTTTGAAGACTGGCAAGACGGGTGCTGAGGTCTTGGTGTGAGACTCGCAAGACGGTGAGTTCATTGCCGAGTTTCTTGTTGCGGGAGAGGAGGAGGTGTTCTAAGCTATCCGGTGCATTATCCGAGGGAGCTGGGGTGGCGGGCTCGTCGTCGTCTCCGGTGGAGAATTCGATGGATTTTAGGATCTCTAATTCCCGCTTGAGGTCGGCGTAGTCGGCGTGTTCTGCAGCCCGGGACTTCAAAGAGGCTTTATCGGCTTCTAAGGCGGTGATTTGACGCTCAAGAGTACGGGTCTTCCGGGATAGCTCGGTGGAGAGCTGCTCTGCATCCGTTTTGGCTGTGGTGAGCTTACGGAGGAGCGTGGCGTTTTCGTGTTGGAGACGGAGGAGGGTTTCGTCGTCCTGGACGGGAACTGGTGCTGGGGCTGTCTGAGTCTGGGAAAGCTGGAGACGGAGCTCTTCGTTCCGGCTTTCGGCCTCGGCGAGGCGAAGGGTGGTGCGCTCAAGGTCCCGGTTCACGATTTCGAGCTCGGCGACACGCTCCTTGCCCAATAAGTCGTCGTCGGTGGAGGTGTTGCCCATACGCTGGGAAACTTCGTAGGAGGCCTTTAGCTCTTTCAACACACCCTCTTGGTGGGCAAGCTTCTCGTTCAGGGCTTTTTCTTTGCTTTCCCAGGCACGGGTCTTCTCGTCTAATTGCGCCTTCCAGATGGTTTCTACTCTTGCGGCTTCTTCGGTCTTTTCGGAGGCTTTGCGTTCTAGCTCTTTGTTTTTGGAGGCGAGGGAGGATTCAAGATTTGAAACTTGGGAGTTCAAACGGTTGATGGTGGCTTTTAGTGAAGCATTGTCTTTGGTCATCGTTTGTAGCTCCGAGAAATTGACGAGAGAGTCGATTGTAGCTTCGAGGAGGGGGTACGGATCCGGGGCTTCCGATAGAGTAGAGTAGATCGACAGGAAAGCCTGTTCCGTCGTCTTTTTGGAAGTTGTGAGATGATCGATAAAGATCTGGTAAGCTATTTGAGGTGTTTGTTAGCTATCCGAGCTACCCCGCTAGCTTGTAGTAGAGGGGTTACATTTCAACAATCCCTTCCATTCTTCTTTCTTTTGCTCGTCGTCAAGTTTTCGATATTCTTTTGTCTTTTGTGCAAGCTCTTTCCGCTCTACTAAGCTCTCCCGTTGGCTGTTCACAATCTCGTCGGCGGTAGAGTCGAGTGATTTTTGGAGGGAGGTCAGGTCGATGTCTGGTCTGTTGGTTAGTGGGGCTCCTGGTAACAGATGATATGGGTGGAAATACTTCTCCATGCTCCAATCGCAGCCTGAAAAGCGCTTGTCTGTGTTGAAGCCCCACCGGCGACATCCTCAGACTTGCGGGGGGATCCATTGGCCGGCGCGCTGGTCGCAGAGTCGATGGAGGCGCGAGCCTGCTCGGAGGCCATTGTGATGAACTGAGTAGATGTGAATTCTTAGCGAGTGAAGCTTAACTGAATCGTGTGTCGCGCTGTCTTCGTCTTAGCTGTTCATAAGTTCAAAGAATGTCGTTGGAGTTAAGTTTGGCGCTGAGAGAGCTCTCTGTCGCGAATACGCGGCTGACCGATATTTACCCGGCGTTGTGGGGAAGCTCTCCAACCGCCGCTCCTCAGCAACCGCCCAACTCCCCCGCGCGCCAAACAGCTTCAAGATATTCGCCAATTATGGCAAAGATGGAAGGGAAGCTCGGGGCTGTTGGCCCCTATATGCTTCAGAATCTGGTAGACGATCTCCCTCTTGACACCCCCGAAAGACAGGATGTTACCGTCACTTGCTTGGAGTCGTGGGGTGAGTTCCGGATCATTCATAGCTTTGGAACGCGCGGATTCTAATGCAAGAACAGGCCAGAATTTATATGTAGGAACTTCAGCTCATGAGATACTTCACCTTGTCTCAATACCGCCGACTCCGCATCCCGAAGCTCCTGCGAAACCGTGCTATATTCTAGCTTCCCGATTACAACCTCTAGCTGCGAGCACCCCCGCAAACCCATTCATAAAACAGATATTAGTCCTCCCTACAGTTTCGAAAGCATTAGTCTTGTCATCAACAGGCTGGCTTACCTTCTACACCCTCCCCGAGTTCTCTCCGGCATACAACGGAACCAAGCTCAAAGATGTCAGCTACATTGGCGGTCTGGACCTCAACGAGGAAGAGCGAGAAGGAATTCCAGAAGAAGGCTCTAGCGAAGACCGACCCAAGCTTGTAATGTGTCATGCTAAGAATAAAATCCGACTTGTTCGATGCTTAAGCGAAGAAATTCGACTTGTGAAGGTATTTACAAGGCTCGGCGAAGCCCTGCGCAGCCCGGAGAAGCCCCACGAAGCTCACCAAAGCTCACTAACACCTTCAGGACCTACCCCTTTCCGCCACCCTGACCTCCATCCGTCGCGACTCCATCGCCTGTGTCGCCAATAACGAAAATTACTCCCTCCTAGATATCGAAAATATCCAGCGCATCCCGTTATTCCCTATTTCCGCCGTATCCGACGATCCACCATCTCTTACCACTGCAGCGCCCCCACCTCCAGAACATGATGCCCCACCTCAACGAGCTATCTCCCTCTCCCCCGATCCCCAGCGGGAACGAAGAAATTCCGCCGTCGAGGAATCAACCCGACTAGCTCCCACTCCCGACCCTCAATCCCGGTCCGTAAGTGCCGGTCCACTTAGCCGTCCAAGCACGGCAAACAGAATGAGCGGCTCCCACCTCGCTCCCAGCGGGGAGGGGTCATCATCCCCAGGCCCAGCAGCAACACCACAACAAGCTGCACCCACCTCCAGAAAATCTCAGCCTCCTCCACTACCCCCAAAACCGCTGATGCCGAATATCGCATCCCCCTCCCCAGGAGAATTTTTATTAACCACCGGAACAAGACCGGAAGATCCGGGAGTGGGAATGTTTGTCAATCTCGAAGGAGATGTCACAAGAGGGACAATACAGTTTGAGAAATATCCCGATCAACTGCTAGTTCAAGGAGGTTGGGTGATTGCTGTGATACCGGGGAAGGGATTGGATATGCAAAGGTGGGATATGGAGAACGAGGAGGTACTGGATGAGAGTGATAGGAGTGGGAGTATTCCGCTTGAGGGGATGGTGAAGATGAAGGAAGTGTTATCGTTGGAGGGGACGGAGGTGGCGGATGCTGGACGGACCTTGAAGCTGGTGCGAGTTGCTCTGAGGGAATCGAAAGATGAGGAAGAGACCCAGAGGGAGGAGGATAAATTTAGGAATGAGGAAGAAAGGATAGTAGCGAGGAGAATATCGACGGTAGAAAGTAGGGTGGTGGTATTTTCCGGTCGGAAGGTTTGGACGCTACTACGCTGCCCATTGGCAGTGCAGCTAGATTCAAGGTTGCCAAGCTTTGCGGAGGAGAATTTCGATGGAATTGTTGCGAGGGTACACAGAGTTCTGCACGTTTTACAGGAAGTTCAATCCATTGAACCTAGCACGGAAACGCAGTTTCATGAAGTATCATTCGTTCGGCAAAAATGTGGTTTGTTGGTACTTGGGGAGTTATTACGGATTACACAGAAGCAAACAGCCGATATTACAGCTCATGAAATACTAAAAACAGAGGTGGCTTTGATGGAAAGTGCGTTAGACCCTCGGTTTATTGTGGCATTGTTTGGACCAGCGTTCCAGGACGACATCGTGGAGAGTGACAAGGGAGTCTGGGTATATGGTGGTATCAAGGAGGTGTTTACGAATCTTAGGAACTCTGCAGAAGTTGGGAAGAGCTTTACACGAGACGTTTTACTATTACTTAA